AAAAAAAAAAAAAAAACAAAAAAAAAAAGAAGGAAAAGCGCCGCCCATCTACGACAAGCTAGCAGCGGATGGTTGGAGAATTTCATCGACTACGGCCACTCCTACCAGTAGATCAGACGGCGGCAACACGGGTGGCGAGATCATCTTATCCAGGTACCATGTCCAGGCCACCACGTTCAACCACCTCCGTGACCTTGCCATCTCCCAGCGCAGGCCTGACCCGTTCCTCGGCTTCACGCCCATGGTATGGCACAGACGTTCTGGCAACTTGGTTGTTATTGCCGCGTATCTGGAACCCCACAGGCAGATCGAGGGTGCAGTACACGATAAGCTTCTTTCGCTGGGAGCGTTCGTTACTATGCTCACAGACCCTTGGATCATCCTGGCCGATTGGAACATGACACCTGAGCAGCTTGCAGCGACAGAGTGGCTCGCCAAATGGAATGCTACCATCGTGCGAGCACCTGGATCCGCCACTTGCGACAAGGGCCAGGGTCTCACGCTTGATTTCGCATTGGTCAAGACTGGCATCGAGCACACGATCTCCATTCGCCAGTGCCCCACAGTACCCTGGGCCACCCACGTTGGCCTTGAAGTTCGAGCAGGCAGTGCAGACCCCTGGTGGTATCAGTCGATCGATACCCCCAAGTCCTTCCCCATAGTGGACAGACCCAGGATTCCGCCAGACCCCAACAGCAAGACCGCCATCAAGAAACGTAAAACAGCTGAAGCTCGAGCAGCACGTCTCCGTGATCTACCTCCTGAACTCCAACAAGCAGCAGCACAGCTTCAGCCACAAGGCGAGCCCGCAGCACAGGAACCTATCCCCTACGCCATCCCGATGGACTTGCGGGAAAACAATGGCAGGAAGCGGTACCCACACGTTGTAAGCAGCCACACGCGCACTTCGTGTACAGACACTGGGTGCACGACGCCGACGTCCTCAACCTCAAGTACGCCAAATGGGTCACGGCGCTCGAGAACACCATGATCAGCCACCACCAGATTGACCCGAAGGAAGCTGCAGCATACACTGGCCGAGCTCAGGGCTACCAGTTATCTTGGAAGAAGACAGCTGCTGCCCCAGGCCGCGTACGCGTACGCGACCCACATTCGGAATGGTGGGCAATTACGCTCACCCTCATCAAGCGCTACGCCGCGCTTCACGACAAGCCCAAGCACACAGCGCTTATGCAGCAGCAGGCCACCATCATCCAGCAGCGCGCGGACCACTTCAACACTCACATGCACGACCTTCAGTTCGAGAAGGATGAGGACACCATCTTCCGCTGGTTTGCGCTCGTCTGGGCCCCGCACCTGGACAAGGATGACACCGACGACTTGGTCACCATTGCCGCTACCTGGGCCTCCAGAGCCCTCTCGGCCGCCCTCGCCAAGTCCAAGAGGGCCTACGGGGCTTGGCTCGCCCAGCAATGGAAGCACCGCCCTGGAGTACTACACGCCCATGTCAAGCCAGCACCCGCACGTCGCATCGAGGCCTACACGGTCAACCTGACCATCGCTGACCCCACCGTCATCATGGACAACAAGAAGCAACAATGGCAGCAAGTATGGCAAGCCACCGGGACCTCCGACGACATCCTCCAGGCCCTGTCAAAGGCCAAGGCAACAGCTGCTCATCAACCGCTCGAGCCCATCACAGCCGAGTTCGTGCACCGCATTCACGGCCGCATGCCACCCAGTAAAGCACGCGGAGTTGACGCCCTAGGACCTCGCGACCTCCATCGATTACCAGAACCAGCAGTCGAAGCTTATGCAGATATCCTCAACTCAGTGGAGCAACTCTCGCCGCCAAGAAGTCTGGAGGCGACAGGGTCCTCGGCATGCTCCCTCATATGGCCAGACTCTGGTCTCGCATTAGATCTACCGCATCGGCAGCCTGGACGCAAGGTCTGGACGACTTTTGGACTACAGCCATCAAAGGCTCTTCAGCTCTCCAAGCCGCCCTACATAGGGCCTTGTTAGACGAGACAGCCTCAGCACTTGGCATACAGTCGGCCACCTTGCTATTAGACACCCAGAAGTTCTACGACAATATCAAGCTCGCCAACCTCATCATGGTCGGCCTCAACTGCGGCTTTCCCCCATCATTCTATTATTGGAGGTGCAGCTATACCTGGCGCCCAGATTCTTGCGCAGTCGGCAATGGGTGAGTATGTCTATCTTCGCCTCCAAAGGCATCATTGCAGGCTCCCCTCACGGCACCACCCTGGCACGACTTATTTTGCTACCAATCCTTCGACAAGCCCAAGCTCAGGCAGAGCTTGCCCAGATGTGGACCTTCGTCGACGACACGGTTCTTCGAGTCGAAGGAGTCCTACGTGCTTTACAGAAGCACCTCCCCCGTGCCGCCAGGACGCTCTGCGACGGATTAAAGGAGTTCGAGCTGCCTATCTCAGACAAGACCGTCCTCATTGGCTCCACTCCCAAGGTCCGCCACTCGCTAGCCAAGAAGATGCGACAGTACGACATCCCAATTACTGCGACCTCCACGGCCGTCGACCTTGGAGTTGACGCGGCCGCGGCTACTCGACGTGTACAAGCTAAAGCCAGGAAGCGACAGATCTCAGCCACAGCCAGGTTTCGCAAGATACACCGACTACGGAGCACTGCACAGCAGGCCCGAATCTCAGCTGGACTGTGGCGCACTGGTGCTCTCCCAGAAGGAGTATTCGGTCATCAGGTTCACGGCCTCGCTCGGCACGCTCTACTACGCTGGCGGCGTCAGGCCGCCATTGCAGCCACGGGCGCTGCCGCAGGCCGATGCCTCACCTCCCTCCTCGGCGCCACTTTTGACGGCATGGGCCCAGGAGTTTTCCCTAAGGATCGAGTTCATCGAGGCTTGGCTTCAGCGCTGGATACGCCACCCGAGCACGCACGCCAGGATCATCAGGGCCTGGCCAAGGATCAAGACCACCTTGCTCGCCGCTGGCCCCAAGCTGTGGTGTAAGGTCAAGGGCCCCACAGGCGCGGCCATCGCGACCCTGCTGGAGGCTAGTTGGGAGCCGACCTCAGCTACCAAGTGGAGGCGTACGAAGGACGGCTACATCGAGGAGTGGAACCTCCCCCCTGCCGACGACCCCGACCTCCTCGACGCCGACATTCACACAGTATTGCAGGACCTCAGCGAGGATTTACACAGGCTCCTCTGGACGCAGGCCGCTACGCATGCCCATGGAGACACGCTGGCTGGAGGCGCAGACATGGTCACTATCCGCATTGAACAAAGGAGGTTCCTCGCAAACGGCGACTTCAGCGACTGGGCCCTCAACGACACCATCATCAGCGGAGGACAGTGGACCAGAGACCGCCTCCACAACGCGGGCTACCAGATCGACAGGAACTGCGACCGCTGCAGCGCTGGAGTCCCTGAAACCTTGTTTCACCGAGTGTGGCAGTGCGAGGCGAACGTTGGACCCGAGCTTGAGGCCAGCGACAAGCTACTGCCGCGAGCCTTGGCGGGGGCCGACGCCGACCCCGCCTTGTGGCTCCGTGGCATTCCCTCTGTTGCTCTCACTACGCCCACGTTCGAGCCATTGACTGGGAGGGACGGGTGGGAGTTTGTTGGTGCGGTGCGGGAGGGTTTGCCGTCCTGGGAAGGTGCTCGTAACGCAGAGGGTGAGTTGTTTCTTTTTGGCGACGGGTCTGGCGGTGCCTTTTCTGACGACGTCAGGCGACGTCGCGTCGGATCTGGCCTCGCGGCCCTCCGTTGGAACCCTCCCTCGGCCTCCTGGACCCTCCACGCGGGCCTCCTTGCCCCCCATCCCAGGCCCCCGCCAGACCGTCCCAAGAGGAGAATTATATGTGTTTTGCCTGGCACTAGAGACGTGCCATCAGGATTTCACGTTTGTTACCGATCACCTAGCCTTGCAGCGTGGTTGGCAGAATGGCAGATGTCTCAGGCCAGGCAGCCTCAAAGGTAAGAATAAGAATGGAGATCTCTGGCTGAGAATTCGGCATCTCGTGCAGGATCGACCTTGCGGCGTCTCCTCGGTCACGGTGCTCTGGACCCCATCTCATGCCGATCCCCAGACTCTTCACGGTTTTCAGAAATTCCTAGCTCTCGGCAATCAGCAAGCCGATGCGCTTGCGGGAAGCGCGGCCCACAAGTCGGCCACCCTTGCCCTCCCGCCTGTGCCCAGGACTGACGAATACGATGCTATCGCAGCGATTGTCCGACAGCGGGCACGACTAATCCTACGTTCCTTTGGAAAGAATTCAGAGCCTCGAGGACTGTGGCCAGAGAGGCAACCCACGCAGGAGGCAGCCCCTCGTTCTCTGTTGCAGACCGCGATCGCGGCTTCACAGCACAAATTCGAGCGGTGTGCAGACAAATGGCGATGCTCTGCCTGCCTCATCATCGTCGATGCTTGCCAGGTTATTCCAGCCGCCGCCACGGAGTGTGCACCGCCTTGCCCCCTTCCCGAGTTTGCTGCGTGTGGCGAGGTGCTGTGGTCGAGGGGTCCCCGTGTGATCAGTGGCAAGGCGATACACCCCTCCCACACGTTGGCCACCATCCCCAAGTGGCATATGTTCTTCTGCGTGAAGTGCGGCCATACGGCCACACACCAGGTCAAAAGCTTACAGTTCCCTTGCCCTCTCACCCACCAAGTGGGAGAGCGCAGGGCCCTGGGACCCACTGGCAAAGGCCTCGAACACCTCAGCAGGATCAGGCGAGGCCTCCATCCGTCCAGATCGGGTCCCAGCAAGTCTGTTCTAGAGGCTATGCATGTTTCGGCAGCCGAAGCCGCGATCGTTTCTCACGCGGCTGGCGCTGCCTCTGAGTAAATTGTGAGGCCAGGGGGGCCTGTCGCGGTGTGCCGTGGGATGTCGCCCCCCACGGCTCTCCGAGAAATTCTGGGTGGCCCCCCTGGCGTCTCTGGGTTCCCGAACGGACTACGTCCGATTGCTCCACTCCACTCCTCCTCCTCCGCCTCCTCCTCCTCCTCCTCCTCCTCCTCCTCCTCCTCCTCCTCCTCCCAGGGCCTCGCGAGGGAGGAGCCGGGCGCGGGGCAGCCACGGCGAGGAAGGCGGGCGAGGAGCGAGGAGGAGAGGGCAGGGCAGAGCAGGAGAGCAGTAGGAGCTGGACCACAAGACAGCTTCCACAAGAAAAGCAACCCTGAGACCCCACGAAGCCAATTGTTTTTGTTGGTGTGGGAGCGTCACGCTGTCCATAGCAAAACCATCGAAACCCAACAAACCCAGGGCACCCTGGAGGCAAGCAAGGTGCTTCTTGGCATGGGTTCCCACTGTAGGACGGAGGACGACGGATGCGGACCGGGAGCAGGAGGAGAGATGAGGAGAGGGGAGGAATAGTGAACATCGTTTGCCTTAATCGATCTCTATCCCCACTGGCGTGGCCTGGGGCCCACTGGCTGGTTTACCCCGGTGAATGGGGGTAGAGGCTCTTCCTTCCCGGTTTCGAGGGGCGCATCCCCAAGTGGGTTGGTGGGATGGTGGGGGTCTTGATGGGGATTGGGACGGGGAGATAATGATATTGAAATAGGAAGGAAGAGGAGGCGGAGGGGCGACGAGGAAGCAACGCGTTTGTGCGCGATGTTGAGACGTCGAGGGGTTCGTCGACCCGTGGACCATCTGGCCCACTTGGACGCCCAGTGCTTGAAAAATACACACTAAAAAGTTTGCCATTGAAGCGTGTGCTCCAACGTTCGAGTGAAAGGAACTTCCGAGTAAGCATGCCATCTCACCCGAACGCATCCAAAAGTACGGGCAGCCGAGCTCCAAGCTCAAACTGGCGTGAGCACAAAAGGCGAGGTAGTTCAATGCTTGCCAGCGTGTGCCCCAAACAGTGAGTCACTGCACCGCGGATGTGTAGGCTAGGGCGGTGTGGATTCGCTGGCGCAAAAACACGTGGCGCAGGCTCTCTCCATCGCTCGGACGTCCATTCCCCGTGTTTTTTTGTTCGGTTTCGTGCGTGGTGGTTTCCCCAAATGATCAGGGACGCTCCTCGAGGGTCCTCGCCGCAGGGAAAAAGGCACGCGTCCGAGCGTTGCCAAGGGCTCCGTGGTGCAGGCTGCGTGGCGCAACCCGTGTGGTGCGGCGCGAGCTGTGCGGCGCAAGCTGCGACGTTCCAGCTCCGCGGCGTGCGCCGTGTAGCGGCCACCGGGCGCCCAGGGCCGGCCACCCGACGGGGGAGGAGGAGGGGGAGGGGGAGGGGGAGGGGGAGGAGGAGGAGGAGGAGGAGGAGGAGGAGGAGGAGGAGGAGGAGGAGGAGGAGGAGGAGGAGGACGCCTCGCCACAGCGAGCCCGCCGCGCGGGGCGCCCACGACGCGCGCGCGGCCGCCCAGCGGGCGGCACCTCGCCACGGCCTCCCACCGCATCGGGGCGCCCACCAGGCGCACACGGCCGCCCAGCAGGCGACACCTTGCCACACCCGCCCACCGCACGGGGCGCCCACGAGGCGCACACGGCCGTTCACCAGGCGAGACCTCACCACAACCCATTCAAGTACGCATCGAATCGCAACAAGAAGCACCAAGTGCTAGCACGGTTTGGGGAATTAACACAAACTCTGTAAGCACACCCATGGAACTTGAAACTTTAAAAATGATGGGATGCGCAGATCACAAGGCAGAGCACAGACCCTTAAACTGGAATCCTTGGCTCAGGAGAGCTCTAGATACAAAACCGGGAGAATCCGGAAACGCGCCGCCGTAAGCGGTCCCTGCCCTAAACAAGAAAATGGCGCCGATCAGAAACATCCTGGCCATGCAACGTCACGCCTGAGCGTCCGCGAAGACGCGCGGGAAGTGCGCGCACGCAATGGGCTCCCCATGCCTAGGATGACGCGAGCGATACATCTGCACCGATCCTGGCTGGCCCGGCCAATCTTGGCCCGAGGGTTGGTGTGTGTGCGCACTCCTGGCTTGGCCAGCGAGGCGGATGCACTGATCCTGGGCCCAGGATGGGCCTGGCCAGGATCGGTGCAGGTGGACAACTGGTGTCTCCCGAACGCCTCAACCCGTGGGCGCGGTCGACCTCGGCGACGGGGATGGGCGTATGGCCTGCCCTCTCCCAATACACGGCGTCATCGCCCCCGAAGCGCAGGGCCACCCGCCGGTGGCTGCTGCCTGGGCCCTCTGGGTTGCCCGGCGAGCCGTGTACGACGCGCGCGTCGAAGCACACGGCGTCTCCCGCCGCCACCGCGAAGGAGACGGCGTCTGCCGCCTGTGCCTCCGACACGTCGACGCACTGGCGGGCCTCGCAGGGCCAGCGGTGCGAGCCTGGGATGTACCGCACCCCGGCCTCGGCGGGCATGTCGTCCAGGGCCACCCAGACCGTCCCGACCTGGCTGCCCGCGATCTTCCAGTAGGGCAGGTCCTGGTGCCAGGGGATCACCCTCCCGGCGCCGCCCCGCTTGAGGATGAGCTGCCCGTAGAAGAACGCCGCGGTCGCGGAGCCCATCAGCCCGGCGATGAGCGCGGCGGCGGGCGAGCCGGAGACGACCGCGTCCCAGGCTGGCGTCCGGCCCCGCCCGTGCTCGAAGAAGACGAAGTCCATGAAGTCGCCCCAGGAGTTGCGGGGACGGCGGCTGGCCTGCGGAGGGGGCGGGCCCGACCCGCACACCGCTTGGCATTGGCGTGCGGCGCTGGCGAGCTTCAACCTCGGACGGGAACACCAGGCTCGAACACGACCCAAACTCCAGACTAACAAAGTCAGAGCGAATCGCCAGAGTGGACCACTGGGCTGAGGCACCAGACTAGAGCACCACACCATGTCCAAACGCCAGGCTCGGAAGGGTACCATACGATGACACCAGACGAACGCATCACAACAGCCTGTCAGTGGCATCATCTGAGAACACGACGTGGCAGACAGGCGAGCACACCAGGCTACGTCACCAGCGAGGCGAACACAGGAGGCTGAAGCACCACCCCAGAATCGCTGGACACACCGAGCTCGAACACCACGCCGAGACAGAAGCCTTGAAACGCCGTTCCCAGGCACCAGACCCGCACGCATACACTCGAGGCGTTGACCTAAGGAACCCTAAATAAGGGACGAGGCCCCTTTTTTCCATAAGTTGAGCTTCGATTTCCCATGGGAAACCTCAGGAAAACAGAAGGCAAACTGCAGACCAATCAAGGAACACCGAGCCCCTCCCCAACGAAAAAGGTTCCTTCTTCAGGGCCCCGACTGTAGAGGAACAACCAACGGTAGAAACATACTTTCCAGGGGGCCCCAACGCCGATCCCAGAGAACCGCGCGGATACTATGTTCATGCATGTCTGGGGCGGATGCAGGAGCCTTGAGTCGGGAGCGGCCAAGAGGGGGGTGTCCAAGAGGGGGGGGTGCAAATCATGACCGGCGGCATGTGCGCGGCCCAGCGGGGGGGCCAGGGACGTAATGAAATGAGAAGAGGCGCCATGAAATCTGGGGAAATATCATGGCCCCCGCCATGATATCCCCCCCCCCCCTCCTAGTCAGCACCCCCCTCTTTCTCGCCCCGATTGAGGCGGACGGCCCATGGACGGACGTTCCGTGGCGACAACGACGATGGTCCTGTTCCAAAGGAACCACAACTGCAAGCGGTCTTCGTACCTGTTCTTTCCTGCCCGTGTCGATAGCACATGAAAACATCACCGCCCAATCAGACATGGAGGCGCTCAGATCGAAAACGCCAGACACGGCTGGCAAGCGCGGGCGCCCACCTGCCCACGGCTGGCCCTCGCCCACCATCACCTCAGGAATCTGTGTCGCTGTGAGGGCGCTTCGGGTTTCCTCCCCCCCCCCCCCCCCCTTCATCCTCTCTCAGCGAAAAAGGGGGGGATAGCAAAGGCGGAGGTTTGAGAATTCAGCTCACGTAGCTGATTTTCCCGGCGCCTCCCGGCGCCGGAGGCGGCTACGTATCGAGGAATGGGCCCCTCGGTGAGGCCGAAACCAGCTGCATGCAGCAAATTTCGTAACCCCCCCTTTCCCAATCCCCCCCTTTCGCCCGGCCCGAGCCTCCAGGAGCATCCAAAGAGGTCGCCAGGACGCTCCCATGACGCCGCCTGGATGGCACCAGGAGATCTCGAGGAAGCTCCCAGGAAGCCCCCAGGATGTCGCCAGGGGGCCCCCAGTGAGTCTGCAGGAGGCTCCCAGGAGGCTCTGTTCTGCGGTAGTCTGGTGCGCTCTACAGTCAACACTCGTCCACAAGAAACCCATCGCTAGAAACCCAATCCTGAAAGCCGCTGACGTCTCACAGGCCAGGCGTGGGATTCTTGCGTAGCGGCTACCAGAGAAGAAACTCCGGGTGCCCCCCGTGCCCGCTGGTTTCGGGACCTTCCGGCGCGCGCCCCAAAACGCCACCGCGCCTGGGAAACTCAGGGCACCCTGCCAGCTGCGGGGGGGTCTTCACCACCGCTGCAAGCCTTCAACCCAACGTGCACCAGCAAAGCGTGAGGTGCCTCCTTTGAGCAGGGACCGACCGTCCCGGCATTCCTAGAGTCCTACCACGAGATGCTCTTAGAACCCAAACCTGTTCTAAGAACAAAAACAGTGTTCTCAGAACATAAGCCCGATGTGATTAAACAAGACAGACTCCGCCAGAAATGCTCTGAGAACATGCCGTGGGAACCACAAAATGTCCTTAGAACATGGTTCAGTGGGGCTAAATCGGCGAGCCAGGACGCTCCGCCACTGCTGGACTCCTGGCAAGGGGCGCCCACCGACGCCCGGCGCCGGCCCCGCCAATTTGGACACCCGAAATGGGTACCGAAAGAATGGGCAACATGCCCAACAGCAAATGTTGTCCCAAACCAACAGCGGCCGCTGTTGGGCAGGCGGCCTCCTGTCTCGAATGGACACAGGCCGCGGCGGCGTGGACAGCGAATCCTGTTCAGAATGAGCAGGAACTGCTGTTGGGCATTGTACCCATTCTTTCGGTACCCATGTCGGGCGTCCAGAGCCACCGGCTCACCGCCGCGCTCTCCGACGAGCCCGGGCCCCCGCCCCCTGGGGGCCTGCGGCGCGAAGGGGTTCCACCACATCACCTCGGCCTCCTCTCGGGTCGGGCGAAAGGGGGGGATAGCAAAGGCGGGGTTTGAGAATCGGCTCACGCAGCTGATCTTCCCGGCGCCTCCCGGCGCCGGAGGCGGCCATGTATCGAGGAATGGGCCCCTCGGTGAGGCCGAAACCAGCTGCATGCAGCAAATTTCGTAACCCCCCCTTTCCCAGTCCCCCCCTTTTTCGCCCGGCCCGCTCCTCGGGCACCACCTCCGCGTGCGGGCTCGGCCTCTCCATCGACTCCGCGAACGCCTCCCAGGTGCTCGTTTTTTTTTTTGTTTCCCCACAGGGGGCACCGTGGGCGTGTGGGGTTCGGAGCCGTGCCCTTTCTGTCGACGTTTTGGGCCCGCGGGGGCAATCCCAGAGATCCGACGCTCCCAAAGATGTGGAGCGGTGGGATGCGGGCAATTTGCGGCCTGCGGGGGCCCTCGCCGGGCCTCGGGAGCGTCAACAAACACGACTTGTGACGAAAAACCGGGCCCGGGGAAGTGGTCCGGACCTCCGGGGCCCACGCATCGACAAAAGTTGGAGCGGCCGGATGTCTGGGAAGTGCACGGATCGCGCCCTCTTGGGGCTCCTTGAGGGCACAAGAGGTGCACCTTTCTTAGACGAGCGCGCTCCACACTCGCACAGTGATTTCGGGTAGGCGCTCGACCACAAGAAACTTTCCACAAGAAACCCAACCCTGAGACCCCAGGACGTCAATTGAATGTTGGTGTTGGAACGTCACGGTTTCCATAGCAAAACCATCGAAACCCAAGAAACCCAGGGCACCCTGGAGGCAAGCAGGGTGTCTCTTGGCAAGGGCTTCCCCTGTACTCGCAAATGGCTTGGATCCGCCGAAGGGGATTTACGTCGAGGCGGCTGTCTGGGATTCAGGTGCCGTTTGGAGCCCCTTCGGGGCTTCAGGGCTACCTTCCTGCAAGCTGCAACCGACGATCCCCCCACGCTGATGGTCCCCCATTGTCATCAGCCCGACCAAACCTGAGATCCGACGTCGCGAAAAAGTTGCAGCATCGTCAAAATCACGACCGGAGCCCTGGACGAAGACAGAGCCAGGACGAGGATCAGATCGGGCGAGGATGCATCGAGAATTCCTGAGATCGGGCGGCTCTGGAGGATGTCTGCCGCGGACTTCTCAGAGCGTTCCCGAATGCTCTGAGAGCGTTCTGGCAGGCTCTGGAACGGACTCATCCTTCAAGGATGAGTCCGTTCCAGAGAGCGGATTCCCATGCGCAGGGCGGCAGTGCCCGGAGCGCACTGGGGGGGGGGAGCGTTACGTCATAGGGGGGGGAGCGGGGGCCATGACGCCCGTCGTGCCCCAAGCAATCAAGAAACGGGCTCTTGTCCTGGCCCCGTCCGATGCACTTTTCGAGCCGCATCGGTCTGTGACGGCCCCGGGGTGCGAAGCGAGGCAACCTCGCCCGCTGTGACAGAACTGCATCGCCCCGTTGCCGTCCGCTGGAGCCTCCCGCATCCGGCCCAGCCACTCCGGGCCTTAGTGGTTCTTGGAAGCGGCAACGCGTTGTGGTTATTACCATTGTTATTATAATTACTATCATTACGACTACCATTGCTATTATTACTGATGTTTATTGTTATCAATTCCTTGTTAGTTGTTATTAGAATCCGTAGCCGTATCAGTATTACTGTTATTTCTATTTCTAGTCGTACCATCATACTTATTATTACTACTACAACAACAACTACTACGAATCGCAAGTATACTAGTGATAATAACAATAGACCATAACTACATACTTATTGTTCTTCATCTCTATATATGATAATGTCCAGAAGTGCTCACCTTGAGAACTGACACGGTTACACACCAACGCCTGCGTCGGAGAAAGAACGGCGACGGGATTAAAAGACAAAAGCACGGCGCCGGAACCGGGAGAAGAGAAAAAAGGACCCTGTCGCTTCCGAGAACCGCTATCTGACTACCTACCAGACCACCCCAACCCAACCCGAAGACCCGAATTTCGGGTCGGGGGGGGTAAGGCTTCCACATGTGTTTTTTCGATGTTCTCCGACCCCCCCCCCCACTGGAAATCGAGGGTAAATCTGAGCCTCCGGGTTGGGTTGGGGTGGCTTGGTGGGTGGTGACTATCGGCGGCGAGCCCGGGGGGGGAAGCGCGAAGGGGAGAGGCCGACAGCAGAAGACGGCAGGCAGCGGGCAAGGAGAGAGGGGTTCTAATAAAAACAGCCGCCGAAGTCCAGATCCTCACGCATCTCCGGCGCACTCAGACGAACTCCTCCCACCGAAGCTAGCAGAAGAAGACGAAGAAGACGACAATCAGCCGCCTACTCCGCCGAATCCTCATCCTACTCGCCTCCTCCTGCTCAAGCCGCCCTCTCCGACAGAAGCCGACGCCCTCCGCCGTCCTCCAGCAGTCCGCAGCAAGAGAACGACGAAGAACAAGAAGATAAAGAAGCCGTAAAATAGGACAGAAGCAAGCATAAGAACTACGAGGACATCCAGCACAGACTAACGAAGATACAAGCTCTCAGGTCCTCCCCCTCCCTACCATCCTCCCCTCCCTTCCCTTCCGGCCCTCCCATTCCCTTTCCTCCCTCCATCCCTACTCCTAACCTCCTCCGTAATCCCTCCCCGCCTCTCCCTCCCTCCTCCCTCCCTCAAGACAGGAGGCTCGGCAGGCCTCGGGCCTGCCGAGATGTGCTCTGCAAGAGCCTTGCCCGGAGATGCAGGAAACAAAAGCGCCTCCGGGAAGGCCGGAGGCCTCCTGCCTTCCGAGAAGGAAGGGGCCCCAGGACGCACAGAGAAACACACACATAAAACTGCTCCCCATTTTTTTTTCTACTTTCTGGGCTTCTGTCTTCCCCCCCCCCCACTTCCCATAGTTTCCCAGACTTTCTGGGGGAATCGCCGATTCATTGTGTCTGTGTGTTTTTTTCCCTCCTGAGAGAAGGCTTCCTCCCTCGCGCTTCCCCCCCTCGCTCGCCGCCGGCACTGGGCTCTGGGCCCATGGCGCCGCGCAGGTGCACGAAGCCGTCGCGCCGGTAGGCGGCGACGTCGGCCTCGGACACGCGGGCCGCGGCTGGGGCCTCGCACGCGGCGCGGGGCGGCGCGACCCCCTGCTGGGGACGTTTTATTTCAAAGGCGCCCTGGGACACCCGAACAAACAGACACAAATTCCAGGATCCCCCATATCGTCTAATGTTTTCGCGGTTTTCGTCTTCCCCCCCCCGTTTTTTTTCCCGAGTAGCTTCCTGGGAGTCGCCGATCAGTTCTGCCTGTGCATTTTGTTCCCCCTCCTGATTCTTGCGCGGCGGCGAAGGCGGCGGGCCGTGCTGGGCAGCGGCATGCCGGGTAACCGTTATGATGTTCCAACCTGCTTTTGCTTTGATCGACAGAAACAATTCGAGCACCACGCAAGTACCGAAGCCGAAGGGTTTTCACGCGTCGGGCCCTGGGAGGCGACACTCGTTCGACACCGTCTCGACACTCTTCTGAGCGCTCGAACTTATTTCTGCGACGTGGTCCTTAAGTACGATGGGCGCAATATAAGGTAAGCGGAAGAGAAAGATCCATGAGATCCTGGCGCTGCGATTCTTGCACAATGGGCGGTGTTGCCCTGCTGCGGGCCCCGAGGCTCCGAGGGGTGGGGCCCACAGACCGATGCGGCTCGAAGAGTGCAGCAGAGGCATGGGCTCTTTATAGGGCTCCGGCCGTGATTTCTGACGATGCCCAACGTCTTCCACGACGTCGGAGCCTCTGGGGTGGGCGATCGACCTCTGATCCCTGCCCCTGCCCACGCCCTGGCCCCACGAGGGGGCCAGAGCGGCGGCGTGGGCCGAGGCCTGGCCTCCGGAGCCACGGCCTCGGGCCCGTGCCCTGTGCTCCAGCTGGCGCGCAGAGTCCACGCAGGCCTTCTGCGAACACACCGCCGCGCGAGCGCGCCGCCAGGGCCGGCCCAGAGGCCCCGGGCGGCCGCGCGGAGGCCTCCGCCAGGAGCGGAGGCCTCCGCGGAGACCTTTTGCTTCTTGGGGCCCCTTCTGCGAACGCGCCGCCGCGCGAGCGCGCCGCCAAGGCGCCGGCCCAGAAGCCCAAGGGCGGCCGCGCGGAGGCCTCCGCCAGGCTGCCCAGCACGGATCACCGCACCCACCACGACAAGGAGGAGGAGGAGGAGGAGGAGGAGGAGGAAAGTGAGGAGGAGGAGGGGAGGAGGAGAGGAGGAGGCAGGAGGAGGAGGAGAGGAGAGGGGAAAAGTGAGGAGGAGGAGGAAAGTGAGGAGGAAGAGGGGGAGGAGGAGGAGGAGGAGGAGGAGGAGGAGGAGGAGGAGGAGGAGGAGGAGGAGGAGGAGGAGGATTAGGTTAGGCACGCCACTAGAGTCGCCACCCCGCGCTGACACCGAGGCCCCAGCGCGACATGGAGAGCCCGTGGTTAATCCATCAGTCTCTTTCACCGCCGCCCGCTGGCCCGTTTCCCAGCGGGGGCCCACTCCCAGGTGCCAAGGTCGCGGGCACTCTGGGGTTCACGCACGGCGAGTGGGCGGCGGCGGCAGCGGCAGGCGCACAGGTCTGCGCCTGTGTCACGCCGCTGGCGGGCGACGGGCCTGGAGCCTCATCGTCCTCATCGTAGAGCTCCAGCTCGATGTAGTCGGCGGGCTGTGCCAATGCCAACCAGCTCGAACTCGAAGCAAACCCTCTGCGGCCTAACCCCTCGCCGCGCTGGGGAATTTTGTGGCCTAACCCCTCGCCACGCTGGGGCAGGGAGCGGTCTAACCCCTCACCGCGCTGGGGTCGGTGGCCTAACCCCTCGCCGCGCAGGGGAATGCTGCTGCGGTCTAACCCCTCACCGCGCTGGGGAACTCCTTGCCCTGCGCTCTCGCCGTGCTGGGGTCGGGTGCAGTCTAACCCCATCACCGTGCTGGGGGGCCTCGTCGTCATCGTCGGCATGCAGCTCTAGCTCAATATAGTCGCCAGTCGGTGGCCGTGGCAACGTGCTCGATCTCGCTGCCATTTCACTGCTGCGGCCTAACCCCTCGCCGCGCTGGGGAGTAGAATGGCCGAACCCCTCGCCACGCTGGGGATCGGTGCGGCCGACTCCCTTACCGCGCTGGGGCCTGTGGCCTAACCCCTTGTCCCTCTGGGGTCTGCTGCTGCGGTCTAACCCCTCGCCGCGCGGGGGGACGTCGAGTCTCGCACTGTTGCCATATTTGATGCTGCTGTCTTCTAGCTCGGGCGAGGTCTCCTGACAATGCCGCTCGCTGTGTTCGCGGTTCACGTGGTATCCGCGGGCCAAGCCCTCCACCTCGCGTTCAGTCAGTCGGTTGCCCAGGGAATGGGTCCGTTCTGTTAGTTGCGAGGTCCTGTCCACCACCGTGTCGGTGACGTAGTCCGCGTCATGCTGTCTGGGCTCGTCAGGGACCTGGCCTAACCCCTCGCCACGCTGGGGCAGGAAGCGGTCTAACCCCTCGCCGCGCTGGGGTCGGTGGCCTAACCCCTCGCCGCGCTGGGGGTTGCTGCGGTCTAACCCCTCGCCGCGCTGGGGATCGCATTGCCCCGCACTGTCGCCGTGCTGGGGTCGGGCACGCTCTAACCCCTCACCGTGCTGGGGAACATCGTTTTCATAATCGTCATGCAGCTCTAGCTCGATGTAGTCGCCAGTCGGTGCCCGTGGCAACCTGCTCGAGCTTGCTGCCGATCCACTGCTGCGGCCTAACCCCTCGCCGTGCTGGGGGAGAGAGTGGCCTTACCCTTCGCCACGCTGGGGATCACTGCTGCTGCGGTCTGACCCCTCACCGCGCGGGGGAACGCCAAGCCCCAGCCTCGCACTGTCCCCATCCTTGATGGTGCCGCCCACTGGCTCGGGAGCGGTCCCCCGACTATTCCACTCGCTGTGTTCGCGGTTCACGTGGTATCCGCGGGCCAAGCCCTCCCCCTCGCGTTCAGCCTGTCGGTTTCCCAGGGTGTGGGTCCGCTCTGTTAGTTGCGAGGTCCTGTCTACCACACTGTTGGTCAATAAGTCCGCGTCTTGCTCACCGCCGCGGTCTAACCCCTCACCGCGCTGGGGACTGCCGTGGCCTAACCCCTCGCCGCGCAGGGGCACTATGCGGTCTAACCCCTCTCCGCGCTGGGGAACTCAGAAAAATCGTCTAGGTCCCGCTGCAGGTCTGAGTCGTCGTAATCTGCCTTCGTCTCGGGCTGTGCAGTGCGCTGGCCCTCGTCTGCGCTATCCGCAGGATGTGCTGCTGGTGGTGTGCATCTCGCTGCTGGTCGTCGCTTCGCTGTCCTTCAAGGTCGAGGCTGTGGATGTGGTTCTGGTGGGGGGTTTGTCAGCACCGAGGGGGCCTGCTCCTCATGCGGGGCCAGGCGCTCCTGATCCCGCAACTCCCTGACAGTCCGTGCCAACTCCGCCTCTTGTGCCGCCTTCGGTGGTGCTTTATAGCCAGGGTATCGCCCATCTCGTATCCTGTTGAGCGCATCCTGCCCGTACTTGGTGATCGTCTCGTCACACGGCTCCCTCAGACTCTTACCGATGGTCGTGCCATACGCCGCACACCGTGCACGGGACAGCAGACCATACCGAGCCCATTCACTGATAGCATGACTCTGGTGTATCTTCCCACTGCCTATGAACCTGTCGCCCTTGACCTCCACGATCTCGTTCGCCGTGGTGAACGAGGCGTTGCACGCCGTTTTCGCGAACTCGTGCAGGGCGTCCGCTGCGATATACTGCCTGCGCGCTGTACAGAACCACTTATTTTTGAGCTTGACCATGTCGTGCTGCTTGGCGCTGCTGATGATCTCCTGCTGCTTGTCTCGCTTTACCTTGGGCCTGGCCGTGGAGGGTCTCTCTGCGCACCAGGGATCCGTGCTCGCTGTGTCTGCCAGTGCCTGCCGTGCTCGAAGTCTGACGTGTGCACAGATCGCGTCCCATTCACCCGTGCGAGGTAGGGACCTGCTCACTCTGTCCCATGATGCCTCCGCTGCAACTGTCGCTAGAGCGTCTGCGAAACTATTGCCCATCGCGAAGATCGGGTTGATCAGCTCTGCCTCCACGTCGTCCTGATGTGAGGGGGTCCGCTCCACTTCGATATGCCTGGGGCTTGTGTCCATGATTGCACGCTTGATACGTGCCCATATGTCCGCATTCTTACCTCTACCTGGGTCGTGTGCTCTACCTCTCGACCAGGCGTTGAGTAGTGGATGATGGTCCGTGGCGTACACAATGTCTCCTCGGGTTTCCTCGATCGCGATCGCGAACGCCATGAGCTCACCTCTTGGTACTGTTTGTCGCCGTCCTGGTAAATCTGCCATCGTACCTGCAGACATCTGCCACTTGCCATCGATCATCTTCATAGCCGCCACGCCTATGCCAACTCGCCGCCATCGTGGGTCTGCACCATGGGTGCCTCCTGACCCGTCGCCAAAGAGATACAGCCGCCGTCCAGGTACTCGGGCCTCCTCGTAATTGCCGGGCCTGGCGTAGTCCTGTCTATCAATGTCGGGGACTTCTGGGTGAGTGAAGCCCCTTGGCGGGATCCCACGCAGCCAAAGGGTGGGCTTCGCTTCCGCTCCTGCCATCGCTTTGGGCACCAAGTAGTCCGTCCTCTCGTAGGTCTCGTGCCCTGTGTTTGCAGCGCAAGTGTAGATGCGGTGGAAAAGGGTCTCGGGCTCCTGCTTGCACCTCGAGCAGATATTTGTGTCGCATTCGCAGCCAGCTTGTATCTGTCTTTGTCGTGTCCATTGTCCCCCTGCAACCACCGCATTGTTGAGCGCCCAGTCCTGCCACTCTGCGCGCTGGCTGAACCTTTTTCTGCTCCTTGCTGATATGCCAAATATCTCCTCCACGTAGTAAATCTTCGCCATGTAAATGTGTTGCAGCTTGTGCCCACCGTGCTGCGTCTAGGTCGTGCCCGAGGTCTTCTAGCAATTGAATATATTCTATGGCATCGATGTCGCACTTGCCGTCGTCGTCGATGAAAGGGGGCTGCCACTGTTCGTCTCCTTGCTGCGTAGGTCGCTTCCAGAGCGCTGCCTGCTCTGGCTTCCACCCTGCCGCGATCAAAGTAGCTTGTATTGCCGCCACTGGTCCATTC